TTATGTTTTATCTATATATATATATATATATATATATATATTATTTATTTTCACCAAAAAATAATATTAAATATTAAATAAAAACTTATATACTAAATACATTTTTGTTATATAAATAATTTGATATTTGCAAAATAATATTAATTGAAATACACAATATCAAAGTTTCTAAAATTGGAATGCACGTGGATCAAATCATTAAACATGTCTGCACTGCAATCACACAATAGTGTTACGGAGGTGCAATTCATGACCATTAGATTGCAAAATAAAAACCGAAACCGCTCAAGTTCTAGGTTCAAAATTTTATATTTCAATTTGATTATCTGTTTTCACTTAAATCACGGTTATTTTAGTTCGATGTCGGCTTTATTTTTTAAAATAACATATATAACCGAACCGACCGAACAATATAAAACAATATTGTTATTAGTATTATTATTATTATTGCTGTTGTTGATGTTGTTGTTGTTGCTGTTGTTATTATTATTATTATTATTATAATTATTATTATTATTATTATTATTATTATTATTATTATTATTATTATCATCATCGAATATATGCTCGGATTTTTAAAATCACTCGGCACCTAAAAATGGCCGATCTAGGGTTCTAGTTGTCTGAACAACTTAACTAATTTTATGCTAAAATTTTAACCATGAACTCATCACTATATATAAAGATTTTAGATCTCCAAACCTCAGCTAAATCTCATCATTCTAAATATCTAAATTTACCGATTTAAGGCTAGAGTCTAGATTTTTGAAACCATATCAAAGGACCTCCAAATATCCTCAAATTTTAAACACAAATTCAACATGATATTTAAAATTTTTGGTTAAAATATCTCTGCAAGAATAGATCTCTAACTCATTTAACATAAAATAGTCATTTTAGGTCTAGATATACAATTCTAGTTCACATAGGAAATGATCTCCAAAAATCTTCAAAGTTTAAACACAACCTCAAAATGATATTGGCGGTTTGTGAAAAAAAATATCTCAGCAAGATCAGATCTATAACTCGTTCAACATAAAATATCCATTTTAGGTCTAGATCTACTATTTTTGTTCACATTGAAAATGGATTCCAAAACTTCTCAAATTTTAACCACAACATCTGCACAATATTATAAGATTTATAGAATTTAAATCACGATTTTTGGACATGCATCCCAAGATACAAATTTTACCATATTAAAGGTAATAAATCTAGATCTCTCATTCTAGCTCCATTTTTCTCGCTTCTATATTTTTAAAATATTGTTATAATTCATATCTAAGCCATATGAGGGGATTTGGGGAGCCTACCTTCTTCCGGGCTCGAAAATAGAAAATAGAAGATGAAAGTGGCTAGTGGAGGCTTGCGGTGGCCTTGGCTCGGTGCATATCCGGGCGTCTCGGCACGTGAGCAGCTTGGAGCTCGTACGAGGCTGCTGCTGTAGCTAACGGAGGTGTGCTGGGAGCTGGTTATGTGATAGGGCTCGCCGGCTCAGGTGGTGCTCGACTTTGATGGGTGGTCGAATATTTAGGACTAGGGATTTAGGATTTTTGACTAAGGAACTATTAGGCTTAGGATGAGTGTGTAGGAATGCTGGGAAAATAAAGAAAAAAAAAATGAGGCTAAGTGAAGAACGCTCACATAAATATGCCCACATTAAATTAGGGTTTGTGGGACATGGTGGGTGAACTTGTCCCCCATTGTACAAAAATGTTAGGTGAACATTTAATGCTCAGTCTTCAAATCAAATTTGAAGACTAGTCAACATCCCGCACTTACCTTGGGCCTATTAATAAAGTTAGGATTGGCTTTATTTTGCAAGAGTTGGGCCTTGGAAAATAAAAATGGACCTGATAAAATTGGGCCATAACAAAAAATGATGGGCTCGGTTTTAAGGGCCTTGGGATGAGTTTTCTTGATGGGCACGATATTTAATTTGTTCGTGAGTGATGGGCCACGACCATTGGGCCGAGTGGCTTGGTACTGTTGGATTCGAGTGTGGGTCGAGGTCTCGGCTCGACTGGGCTTCAGCCCAACTTAATTATTTTCCTGATTTTACTAATGCTCACTTCGGGAAATAAAAATAGCCAAGTTCACGACTGTTTTTACTAGAAAAATGAACAGATACTTAGGCTAGAATTAATGCGATTTCGGACTAAAAATCGAACTGATCTTCCATGACTTAGACATAGAATTTATAACTCAATGTAATGCAAATAATAATAAATAAATGCATCAAATAATTGAATAAGACTTGAAATAAATATGCTTGCTTTTTATGGAACTAAAGTTGAGATAAGAATTACTAAAAATGTTCGGGGTGTTACAGGGATCTCTGAGGGTGCCCGACATCAGGGCACGATTATAATCCTTTCAGACGACCACTAATAGGGGCACTATCTGAATTGCGAGAAGGATTTTCCTGATCGCGAGCTGGTCCAAAACCAATTAATTGTACAGAAGACTCAGTGAAGAGAATTGAGCCTCATCGATTCAATTGAGTCGGAGGAGGAATTTAGAGGCCATTTTAAGATAAAGTGGTGATCAATACATTGCAAGTGAAAGGACACTGCGATCAAGTCAAGATCACGATGAACAAATCTTTAAAAACAGCCTATGCCTACTTACTATTTTTATATACCAAAAGACGACTTGCAAGGAATGACCACCAAAATAGAGTACAAGACATATCTAAAACTAAGTCGACTTGGAAATAACAATTACCCCAAGAATAGGTCTAAGTTGACATGCGAAAACTATCAAGGAACAACCAGTGAGCAATGAGGTTCAAAATCTAAGATAAAAACAAGTCGAGGGTGCGACTAATAGGCGAAATCCTTATGAGAGACATGATTACATAAGTTGATTTGCGAAACACAAGTTATTCATAGCAGACTAAAGCATTCAAAGATTAATACCAAACATTTACCAGAAGACCTACAGATCATGAAGAACATTAAGAACATGAAGACCATTCATATTAAATTCAACTTCAAAAACCCAGAAAAATGAGAAATTGCAGGAATTAAAAAGAACTTACACATGATGACTTGCGAAAATAGTTGAAGAATTTAATGAATATATGCCGGAGGTGCGAAGAATATTGGGATTGCAGAAAAACTCGAGAGAATTTAGCGAATAAGGGGTGCGAAAAATGACCTAAATGAAGGTTGAAGGATATTTATAGTTGAAATTGCGAATTGCTGACCCTTGGGTCAGGAAAGATCTAACAATCCAGATCAGGCACAGAAGTTGATGCGTTAGAATATGATGCGATGCATATCTTTTTAGAATTTAAAAATATCAGAATGTATCAGAAGCTTAGCCGTCAATTCTTCTCCTAAGCTCGAGATCGATTGGAGTAACTTTTTTTTTTTTTTTGGAGGGGGAGATGATGTAGCCATACTCGCATAGATCGATGTTGACAGCTCGACCAGACAGTGAGCCAAGCTGTCTGAGTCGAGTTGAGTCGGGCATGCCAACCCGTTATAATTATCAAGGAAGATGATCACCACAGGAATAGCTATAGATCGAGGTCTTTGAGTCGACTTGTGAGATAACGACTTAGAAGATGGATCTGACTGTAGAACGACTCGATATAAACGAAGAGAAGAATACCTCAAGGACCTCGAGGGAGATCTAAGAGCGACTAGCGAGATGGCGACCTTCTAGTGATAGCAGCTTTCCCAGTCGTTACAAATCCCAGTTGACCTCCCATATCTCGAGGCCAACTTCATTCACCTCGCAACTCAAGACTTATGTCGATCGAGGGCGTACCTTGACATCCAGTAGGATTAAAGGATTAGGACGAATCTTAAGAGGATAAAATAGAATTTATGATGACTAGGATCTGAGTAAGAGATGATTAGTATATAGATAAGCACTAAAGATCCGGACAGTCCGGCAAGCTGACAACGGGCACTTGTGCAGGACATTTTTGGCAAGTATTTTCCCCATAAAAGGGGTTAAGGTATCATCTAATCACAATTTTACATTCTATATACATTTCTCACTGCACTCAACTTTACATTCTATATACATTTCTTATTGCTCTATTTATAGAGCATCATCATCGTCTTCTTGAGATTGACTTAAGCATCGGAGGCTCTGCGCTAGAAACTTATCTGGCGTTGAGTTCTTGCAAGTGTTCGTGACCGTTCAGAAAGATTAAGGTCATTTCGACCAGTTCGATCCAAATATAAGAGAAGAGCCATCAAATATGAATAATAAATTTTTTGAAGAGAATTTCTTCTTCTTTTTTTCTTTTTCTAAGAATACTTTCTAGTTATTGGCACTTTGCCTAGTACTGAAAATATTTTATATTGCCGCGACAAATTTTAACAAACCCTACAAAAACCCTGAAGCTCTTCTTCCCCCAAAACCTCCAATGGCGTCTTCTTTTTTTCTTCTCCTTCAAGCTAATATTCAAAACTGTTAATTTCACTTGGCGTCATGCATTCATATCTCTGCATAAGCTCTATCGACCTTCACAAATAAGCAACTATATTTGTTTTCTTAAAAATGGCTAAAAATTGCGCATCTGGGATTTTAGCTGGTCTAGCATATGTTACTTTCGGAATTGATCATGCTTATGCGGACGGGCCGTTCAATTTTCCCCCATTCTCCAGTGCTTCTTTGGCGGCTTCGCAGCAGGCTACTCCGGAGCCGGCGAAGGCTCCAACTCAGCCGGCAGTGGCCGAGCCACCTCGAGTTCGTAATGATAATCCAAGGACGACGTCTGCTGGGTTCGACCCTGAGGCTTTGGAGAGGGGTGTCAAGGCATTGAAGGAGATTACTAGTTCTTCAAATGCCAAGAAGGTTCTGATTTT